CGTCCTTTGAGGGACAGGGTGATTTCATAGGTTTACCAGATTTTCGGTAGCTCAGGCTTTGTGTTCATAAAGGCAAAGATGAAAAACAAACCATTTGCCCTTTCTTGTCATTCCCTGAAAGCATGTCAAGGGCCAAGGAATGAGCAAGGGTGATACTGTTACCGTCTGATGCAATAATAAACCCACGACGCATGAGGCCTCTCTTCCAACTAAACACATGTGGAACGGCAAAGCGCGACATGACCATCGTCAAGAGCTAAATTAGAAGCGTGGACACAAATCTGAGGACCGATGGAATGAAAACAAGTCTGTGAGTTTGGGTGTTTTCTGTCTGCTTTGAGTTTGCATGCACATGAGTCACACCCCAACGCGTGTTCGCTAAAGACAACAAACCAGTCGATGCTCAGTCTGGACGCTGAGGCCTCATCTCTCTGCCTCCCTCACTCCCGGTCTCTTCCTGTCCGTCAGCTCTCCACATGAAGACGTCAGCAGTGCGGAGAACAGTTGGTTTTAGTCATCTCAGTCAAGGAGGAGCTTTGTCACAGCGCGATAATGTGTCAAATCCAAGCGGCGATGTAATATGATCTGGGTTTTTTTGGACAAAGTCATGGGGATCTTGGCCAAAGATAGAATGTATTTAAAGCTTTTATAAGTATATTTCTCCAGAAAATATGCCTGAGATAGTGTTTTTTAAAACTATTTGTATGTATATAAACTATTATTTATTGATTCATAAATAGTGTTTTGGTTTGTAGTTCCATGGGATCAGAAATGTCACAGGATACACTGTATTTGAGGAGCCTTGCGATGAATAATGGGGAAGGACAAAAAAGAAATAAAAGAATGTTCTCTCACAAAAATCATAATCATATCATATCTTCATCTAAAATGTAAGGAGTAACCGTAGCTATGAGATACATTTGTGAAATGAAAAGCACTAAGAGTGTAAAGTAGAAGTATTAAGTGACCAAAAAACGAAAAATACTCAAGTACCTCATGATTGTCCTTAAGTACAGTACAGTCAATGACGCAAATCTCCTCCGACCATTTCATATTGAGCAACGGCATCAATAGTTATTGACTAGATCTAATAAGCCAGTATTTGCTTCCCAAACAACAGGTTAAAATGGACACTGTAGGTACACACCTGCATTTATCACTTCTAGTCACATGCTGTATACAAGGCTCAGACAGAGAAGTGTCGTCTACCGGTGACTCATCGGGAACTAAAAGGTCAGAGGTCAGATCTTTTGTCACATGAATCCGCCATCAAGAGCCCGGTGAGTCACCCATCCTTGGGGGCGCGGTTGGGGTGGGCTTTGGGCCGGGTTCGGTAATTGTCTCTCTTTCGCCGACCACCTTCAGGAGGCAGCAAACGAGCAGATATAAGCAGAGCGGCTCCTCGATGCCGGGCCTCTTTTTCTGCGTGATACGCTAACACCTACAGCCACAGCCTCGGGAGTAATATGACGCCTACGGTCTCTTGTGAAATGTGAGCTGATATTTTTTCGAGTATCGTCACCGGGGCCTCTGGCTTCGGATTGCACAGTAAAATAACCGGTGATCCTACCCCCATAATCATGGCTACACCGCTAGCACAGGGCCAGCATTCCACAACAGCATTCCTGGACTCCTCTGAGCGGAGTAGAAAAGTGTCTGGCTGCATCAGCGCAGCAGCAGGTGCTGAGTTGTAATCTTCTACGTTGTATTGTAATGTGCAGTCTCGGATTTCAATAGTTGGGCCAAAGTTTTACGACGAGCGCCAAGTCGACGTGTCAAGTGCTACAACAGAGACGGTAACAGATGTCTTTATCGGCGGTGGATTCCATAATCCCCTCAGATCCATTTGGCTTTTCGTGTATGTCAATTAGTCCAGATCTTCACCGACACCTTTACACTGTGTTCACACTGCAGACAGATTTTTTTCATCCCTCTAACGCCACTTTGTCTTTTCCCCGGCGGATCTCGGTCTGCTTGTGAAAGGTCAGGCCGCACATTCCCACTGACAGCACTTTAAAAGAAGAAAAAATTGCATTCACCAGGAATCAGGATCAGGAAACATCAGGAGGCACCAAATAGCCTCCTTGTTCTTTGCTCCTCTTCCCAAGTCTGTGGGCTAATCTTCAGGATGTCACTCTGGCCAGGACCATCGGGCCTTCGCTCCTCTCCCACTTAATTATTAACTCTCCCGTTATGTTCTGGGCCCCGACATTTCAATTTGTATCATTTTAAAATCCACCACGCTGTCCTCATCCCGCTCGATAAAATATAACTATCATTGCTCCAATACAGCAAGGCCCTCTCTCCTCCTCTTTATGTGTCATCACATTATCCTCTCTTGCTGGATTATGTAACATGCAGGCTTTGGTAACCGTCATCGTCCACCCTCTAATCTTGGTGCGCCCCTCCTGGGAGCACACAGGGCTGAACGCACCTGCATGCTAATGGATGGGGATTGCACCACTGGTCGGTGTGGGTGGTGGAGGACCGGGAGTTTCCGTCTGTCTGTCCGGTCTCGCTCACTGACAGCCCGGCATCGGCTGCAGACAAATGCCAGCACAAAGCTTGGTATCTGCTCCCACGTAGAGTATGTAGGTGTGAGGATCCTCTCTCGGCCGCTCTATTTTCTATTTCTCCATCGTCCTCACTCTTCCTTCCCACATTGTCCATCTCTTTTTTTCTCGACGTGCCTCCAAATTCTCAGGATCTATACGTCAAAATGTTTTCGCTCTCTTTCTGGTCCCTAATGTTTCAATTCCTTTTGTTGTGCCTGGGCTCGTGTCGGGTGTGCGGGTAAAGGGAAAGGTTCATCAGGCGAGGACTCCTCTGGCTGTGTTTGTGTGGGCAGCAATGGGGAACACACTAATGTACCGGCCGACTCAAACACACACACACACACACACACACTAATTCCCCTTCCCCTGCCCTTACACAATCTGGCGTCCACCCCCTCTATATACATCAGTGTGAAGGGAGGCCCAAACAGCCACTGTGAACTGTTTATCATCTTTATTACTTTATTACTTTTCCGACAGTTTTCCCTAACCTGATTTTATCACATTGTCATCAGATGATGAGTTTCTCATCTGCTCCCTCTACACTTTTCCCTTTGCTTTCCCACAAATGTATCGACATAGGTAGAACAGATCCATGAAATCAGCGGCCGATGCAGACAGGAGTTCAGATTTGGCGTCACCTGGGTGGCCACACAGTTACAGGCTCTCCGTGCAACTCCCCATCACTGGGTCCCGGAGCTCCAGGTATGGAAAACACACGGGCATCTATCTCAGGTTTTTGGAGAGAGTGCATTGGAGGCATTATTTTCCTTCTAAAATACAATAGTGCTTTGGCACCGCCACATTCCTTTAAAAGTGCATTTATATGTAACTCACTGCATGAATAAACACCATTACACATTATCCAGCTGCGACTTCTACTTCAGGCTTATTTGGATTTTGTGAAGGAACCTCTGCTGAACATCATCCATAATATATGACGGGATTTTGCCATCAGTCTAATGGGGGTAAACCGAGAGATTTGGAATGGGAAACGTATTAGAGAGAATCCAGGAAAGACCAAAAACCTTTAGAGGTGTGAGAACCTGAATCACCTTTCAACTCCACATCCATCCATCCAGTGAAGTGTTATTCAAGCCAGGGTGAGCGGGACTGTGACACCCCTGTAAATGAAGGTCAGCTGAGCGGTTTGAGGGTAAAAATGAAATATACATTTACGCAGAACAGAGGGTGTCAGCTGCACTGCTCTCTCTAACGCATCATTGGCGTTTCTCTCTCTCTTCACGCATAAAGTGTCCTGCCCGCGATGTTTCCCAAATGAGGTTGCTCGCATATAGATCCGGTCAGCAGCCAGGGAAACACATTGATTTCCCTTCAGCATCCACGGAGAGGAGAGCTGGCGAGCCAGCCGAAGCGGGAGGGGGGAGGGGGGGCATCGGTATCCCGCAGGCGTCCTGGCAGCTGTGCGCAGCGTTGTTAATTTCGGCCCATTAGCCCGCTGAGTGGCAGAGAGATTCCCCAAATATTGAGCTGGGGACACCCCTCAATTAGACGGATCGCTCCGCACCTCGTCAGCACCCCGCTGCTATCTGTGCCCATTAATCAATGACACAGCTCAGAGAGATGGGAAAGTTCATTTACAGGCAGGTTTGCTACGGCAGGCGGAGGAGTTTGCACCGTCTTATTTTTTTAAGCCCATATTGCTTTCGCGACTTCGCTTGCATCAAATGACGGTTTGTTATTTATTATCATGAAATCGTTTCATAATATGTTCCAGCCTAAAAAAAATAAACTGTCACTTCGATATTATTTCTGTTAACGTTACATTTGTGGTATCGTTTTTTTATGAAGCGCACAAGCCACCACGCCTTTAACTTTCCAACAGCAGCAACGGCAAGAATAAACGAGGTCCAGCAGTTCTTCTGCTGCACAAAGTGTTTGCCATAAAGCCAAAGCTGTGCCTTAAAACAGCCGAGCTGGATTCTGCCGCCGACATTAGTTATTATGAGCGCTGGACGTGATTTGCACTCCAGCCTCTCATTCACTGCCAAGCAGCGATCGAGCGCTGCCTCAGGAAGTTCCAAATAAGGACAAGGAAATGGAAACCCACCGGAACAGGTCCTTATGTAGTCACGACCTTATAAGGTACGGCGCGGCCGGGCTTTCCGGCGGCGGCGCTGCCTGCTGCACAGATGGGAAATCCAAATCAAATCTATCGGACAACAGGCGAAGAGCGGGAATTGTGCTACTGTCTCACGGAGCTGCTCGGCTACGAAGACACGTTGGTTCAGGGCAGAGGAAGAGCGGCGTTGTCCTCGCAATTTAGTGTTAGAGCTTAATATAAAGTCTCTCTGCTCTCCGCTCCCCACCCCCCCCCCACCCCAGGCCGGCGTCATGTGTCCTCCGCTGCAGTGCCTAAATATGGGCTTCCTCCTCTCCACATATGGACATCTACGTCACGGCAAGAGGGTTTATATAGAGCGGGGAAACCTCTCAGCTCAGACAGAGCGCCGAGAGCCCACGCGAACCACTGTTAGAGCAGAGGTAGACAGGCAAACACACAGAACTCACGTTCTGCAAAACAATAAAAGTACAAAGTCAATTCAAAACAACATCCATCCAAGAGGGTCAAAACCTGACTGGATAAGTCACTTATTAATTAGATTAAAAATCAAGATTGATCTGTTGAATCATTTCAATGGATGTTAGGGAATCAGTATTAAGGACACTTTTGATTTTTTCTGAAAAGACAAGTGGATCTTAACTCGTCTCTGAGAGAAAAAGGACGACAACAAGGACAACTGGAGAACAAGAGTCACAGAGCAAGACGGCAAACAGAACCTTCCTCGACATCGGCAGAAGCGTGCAGCGCTCCCTGAGCAGGGCAAAGTGATTACCTCCACCTGCGAGGCATCGCTCTGCCACTGTGCGACCAGCCTCCCGGCATTCATCAGCAGCCCCCAGCGCAGCTCCAGCACCAGCAGAGGATGGCTGCAGCCAAGACCGAGATGATCCTCCCAACCCTGCAGATCTCAGAGTCTCTGAGCTTCCCTCACTCCCCCATGGATAACTATCCCAAGCTGGAGGAGGTGATGATGCTCAGCTCTGCAGGGACCCCCTTCCTTACTGCCTCCGCACCTGAAGGTGCAGGCTTTGGCTCCGGGGAGCCTGGAGAACAGTACGACCACCTTGCCGGAGGTAAGATTAGCCTTTTTTTTGCCTCTGGTACTCTGTGCTGCGTGTAAAACTGAATTGATGATCTGAATTGATGACATCTGCTGAGATGCAGTAAAATCAGAAAGGGAGCAAAGTTAAATAAACAGTGCTATTTGAATTATTATTTATGTTTTCTGCATGATTCAATGATCATATTACATCTGGCATTTTCAAATGCAAAGTCAAAAAAATAAATAGCAACAGAGAAATAAAAAATGAATCTCACTTGTATCGATAGTTCTAAATCCATGTAGACTATTGGAGGACTTAACCACTCGTCAGTCACCGCGAGCCTCTAAACGCTTCTGCAGCTCAATTCAAATTGCATTCCTAAAACCAGCTGAACTGCAGTTTAGGTAATCAATTGCCTGAGGCTCTGTGATGGGCTCCAAGAATGTGTGTGTGTGTGTGTGTGTGTGTGTGTGTGTATTGCGGGTGTGTGTCTGTGTGAAGGCAGGAAGACAGAACAGACTCAAAGAAAAATCGAGAGTGGGAGCAGAGGGAGAAAATGCGAGCATAGAAAGCTTTCACAGCAGCTCTTGTTGAGGTTAGGAGAGTCAGTTCTAGAGTTTAGGTGGGGAAGAGTTTAGTTGTAGGGGGATTCTGTGTATGGGCGTCTGGGCATCGGACTGTTGTCTTTCAGAGGAGAGGGGTCTCGCTGTCCACGGGAATGATTCCCCCTCTCCCTCCCTTCCTCCTGGATATTTATCGACAGTTTGATTAATGTCTCTTCTTCTCTCTCTGTGCTCCCTGCAGATACGTTACCTGATATCCCCTTTAACTGTGAGAAGTCGATGGGAGATCAGACCTACCCCACCCAGAGGCTGCCCCCCATCTCTTACACAGGCCGCTTCACCCTGGAGCCCGCCACCGCCTGCAGCAACAGCCTCTGGGCGGAGCCCATCCTGGGCCTGTTCACTGGTCTGATGGGCAATATTGCCCCCAGCTCTTCCTCCGCCGCCTCACAGACCACCTCGTCCTCCTCTGCATCGATCCCGTCCTCCACTTCTTCCTCTTCTACCTCCTCATCTCAGAGCCTCAGTTCCTCCATTCACCACAATGAGCCCAACCCCATCTACTCCGCTGCCCCAACCTATTCCAGCCCCAACTCCGACATCTTCCCGGACCAAGGCCAGGCTTTCCCCAGCTCGGGCGGAGGTGTGCAGTACCCTCCTCCTGCCTATCCCAATGGCAAGACCTGCAACACTAGCTTCCCTGTGCCCATGATTCCCGACTACCTCTTTCCTCAGCAGCAGGGAGAGATCAGCCTGGTGCCCCCGGATCAAAAGCCCTTCCAGAGTCAGTCCAACCAGCCGTCCCTCACTCCTCTGTCCACCATCAAGGCCTTCGCCACCCAGACTGGTTCCCAGGACTTAAAGAGTGTCTACCAGTCCCAGCTGATTAAGCCCAGCCGCATGCGCAAGTACCCCACCCGGCCGAGCAAGACACCACCTCACGAGAGGCCCTACGCTTGCCCCGTGGAGACGTGCGATCGCCGATTCTCCCGCTCCGATGAGCTGACTCGCCACATCCGTATCCACACTGGCCAGAAGCCCTTCCAGTGCCGCATCTGTATGCGCAACTTCAGCCGCAGCGACCACCTGACGACACACATCCGCACTCACACCGGTGAGAAGCCCTTCGCCTGCGAGATCTGCGGACGCAAGTTTGCCCGCAGTGACGAGAGGAAGAGGCACACAAAGATCCACCTACGGCAGAAGGACAAGAAAGCGGAAAAGACGGGAGCAGTGGTGGTGACGGCAGCGGCGGCGACATCAGCCTCCTCACCTGCCTCCAGCTACCCTTCACCCATCACCTCCTACCCCTCTCCAGTGTCCTCCTATCCCTCTCCAGTCACCTCCTGCTACTCCTCTCCGGTCCACACTTCCTATCCGTCTCCTTCCATCGCCACCACCTACCCATCAGTGTCCATGTCCAGCACCTTTCAGTCCCAGATCGCCTCTTCCTTTCCCTCCTCAGTCGCCTCCCACATCTACAGCTCCCCCATCCCCACCCCGCTATCAGACATGCAGACCACTCTCTCCCCAAGGACAATCGAGATCTGCTAATAAAAAGAAGACAAAAACTTTTTACAGTCTCCCCGCACCTCTCCTTCCGCAAGGTTCTTTGAGGAGAAAGAAATCAGCATCAAAAGACTTTGTTTTCTCCTCCAAAAAAGCACTTTGTTTGTCAGCTCCCTGTGCAGGTAAATCCTGAGATTTACCAGAAAGAAAAAGACACACGTCAAGGACTGGGCAAAGACAGCAGAAGATGAAAAGGGATTTCTTCCTGTCCCTGTAAAACAAATGCAGCTCTTCAAATGTTTAAGGGACTCAGCAGATAAGGGTGCGGAAACGGGCACGGACGGGTCTCTTCTAGTAGATACACAGAAACCAAGAGACGGACTAAGATTGCCAGCAGTTGTGGTGCTAAGGCACGGTCGCCCTGGAAGGCGGAACTCCGTACAGTAGGCTACAAAAGACATTGAATGATATACATAAGCTACCATATATGTATATTGTACATGTGCCATGTTTTGTTTTTATCATTCTTTGGTACCATTGATGTGAAACATGATTTGCATATTTGCATTGTATTATTTGAAGTGAGCAGGGCCATATTTTCTACATACTTTCTCTATTATGTAGTGATGATGCTGTGATACGTTTTGACATTGTTTGAAAAAAAAGCACTTAAGTATTCAAGCATGAGTTAGAGTGATGTTAATTTCGGTTTGTAAATATCATCCGGTGGTACTGTCTCTTTCTCTCTTTCTCACATGTGACATATCGCTCGGTTATATGGATAAATAGAGAAAAGAAAAAATACATTTAAAAAGAAGAAAAAAAAAAAACTAAACAAGAAAAACGCTCCCGTTATTTGGTGCCTTTTTGTGAAGCCGTGCTGATGTTCTGACTCGGCTGTGTGCGAGAGGATGCGCTGCATCTCGCCTTAAGGGTTGAGGGAGTATTTTTGTTACAGAATGTAAGTCATAATCAGAGCGAGCAAAAGGGACGAGCTACGAGGGCACCGCTTCATTTCATTAGAATGTAAGCAAAAAAGGAGGAAAACTATAAAGTATATTTTTGTAAAAGTGTAAATATCCACATCTTCAAGAGCTGGAATGTTGAAGTTACCTACTGAGTAGGCATGGGATTCTTTTGTATGTTATAAACATGCAGTTCATTATTTTGTGGTTATCTTAATTTTGTATTTGTGTTTGTTAAAACAAGTGACTGTTTCTGGCTTCTGAACACATTGAATGCGCTTAACTGCCAACGGGATATTTGGTGTAAAAGATATCCTCCCAGAAATGAAATCTAAATAAAATTATGAATATATATATGTATATTTGCTCTCCCACTTTATTGTCCGACTTCCTGCCTTTCCAATATTTCCATTGATACATCAAATTTTTATACAGTCATTGCATTACATCCCACTCTTAATTGCATCATGTACACCCTCATATATTAACATCACATATTCCATCTTCTTATATTTTAATTGCATATAGATTATAAGTGTAGATTAATACCACAACGTTCCATCGCAACAAGACACTTTTTCCCTTTAATGAAATCTGCACAGCATGATCTTATGGAAACTCTGTTTCAATCACTTTTCTCCAATTGAACCCTATATTAATGATAACACTAATGCATGACTCCCATGCCTAGAACCACTGGAGATGAGGAATTCTTATCTACGTCCAACGTAGTCTTGAAGATATTAAGCTTATCAAAAATTAAATTTTATTTCAGATTCCATGATACACACTAGCCCGTACTGTTGAGCTTGCAGCAATTTGATCTTTAGGAAAAATAATAATAACTGTTATTCTTTTCTGCATGCTGTTAGAGAAAAAAAATCATTTTTGAAGAGGGACATTTTAAACTGCCTATGCTTAGACATGCACAGGGGTTATTTTTACGGATTGCAGGTGAAATCCATCACATGATAATTACCTTCTTTGCTGCAGATGCTCTTGGCAAGAGGCTGTCACCGAGTAGCAAATGAGCTGCAGCACACAATTGGACAATATCTGCGTAGGTTAGGCCAAACTGTTGCACGAGTGCAGCAGAACCGGCTGGCCCTGAAGGTTTAACCGCTGTTTCTTTTGGTTTTTCAAGGAGACTGTAATAACAGCCTGTTTACACCGTCATTATTCATCTGCCACTGTTGCCTAGGCAAGAGGTTCTTGCTACATGTTTGGTTACGAAAATAAAACAGCTTTTTTTTTTAGCCTATGTAGTTAGACAAGAACCCTAAGTCCTTCTATCGAGGATTTGGAGTAATTTTGTGTTGTGAAATGCACTCACCAAAATACTCACAAATGCAAACACAGCTAAAATAGAAAGTAGGAAAACAAGTAGACAAGAGTGATAAAGGGGAAAGGAAGAATAATTAAAATAATTGGTCTCCTGATCCCAAATTGACTTTTTGGATTGGGTTTGAGGAGGTGTGTGTGTGTGTGTGTGTGCGTGCACATGTATGCAAGCATTTGTGCGCCATATACATTGTGACCGCATATCGACTCTTACATTTGTACAGTGTTGCTTCATGCTGCGTGTTGTCTTGGTTGAAGCTCAGCGTGCCGATGAAACGGATCGACCAGGACACCAACCCTCTCTTCTGCTGACACGGTTTGCGGGGTGTGAGTGAGTGTGTGTGTGTGTGTGTGTGTGTGCACGCATGTCCGCTTGAGTACGTATGAAAAAATATTACAGAGCAAAATACAAAAATGAATAACAATGAAAGGGGACATTTCCTTAAATAAGTCAATTAAATACTAGAGTATATAACAGCATACACATTCATAACAGTGATACACAAAGCAGACTTTGCATGAACTCCGAGTTAAATCATCTTAAAATCATAAAAATGATGCTCCTCGCTCAAAGCCACATAATCTCTGGGTAAATTTCCTACTTCCTCGTGTGGCGTAAAATCCTGAAATATGTTGTTTCCTGTCATTGTCTAGAATATGAATTTGACCCCTGGTTCCAACTCAAGAGTCAATCCGCAGCTTTTGCTTCTAAACCTTCCCAGTGGCCTTTCTCATGGTAACGGACGACGTGTCAGCCGACGTTGTCACAGTCACAACCGAAACGCTAGAAAGACAGACAACCAATATCCTTCAAAGTACGAGGGAATTGTTTGGCCCATCATGTCTTGCTGTGAATCGCGACTCTTCGTCACATATCAAAGCTCCCGGGCTGAGCCGGTTGTGTTTAGGGAGGTGTGAGAGGAGCGCGAGAGGCGCTGGGAGTGCAGTTGCGTTGCGGCTCCACTCTGTTGTAACCCACAACGGAGCCACCTCACGCCCCCCAACAGGCTCCAACTTCAAGAGCTCTGCCTTTGTTCAAAAATGTATTTGTTCTCTTATGCTTTTTGGGAGTTGTGTAAGACAAAAAAGGACGAATGGCGGAGAGAGCCGTTCTTTTCTCCCCCGGCCCCCCTCCCTCCCCCCCCATCCATCCGTCTGTCTCTACCTTGCTTTCCCCTCTCTGCTAGTGCATATTTTGCTGGAGATGCTAATGATCTCCCCCCCCCCCATCTGTATTCTGATGCAAGGTCTGTCTACACTTTTTCCTTTCATCCACATACAAATGTGCTCTTATTGCCTCTTCGCCCTCGGGCCTTTTAAGATGCCTTTTTGAAATATGCCGTTTGATAAGCACATCATTGGCCAAGTCCCCGCAGTGATTAGAGCTCTCTTTAATGTGAGCGAGTTAGAGAGTGAATTAGGGGCTTCGGGGGCCGGTAGCTATCTGTTCTCCTCTGCCCTCACCCCTCGAAATCCCCCGGACCGCTGGGAGGAGACCCGCGTCGGGAAGGACGACCCCCGAGCGCCAGCGGCCATCCTCCATTCTTAATCGCCACGTGGAGATGAAGCACGGGGTGGAAATGCACGAGAGAATTGCTTGCATAGAGACGGGCTTCTGCATGCTGGAAGGCTGGAATCCTCTACTTTATCCCAGAGATGTGACAGGAGGACTTCTCTCTAATGTCTTTTAAATATGCTCCATTGATCTAATGTTCAGAGCCTCGCCGGGATGGGTTTTTTTTTTTCATCTCGCCAACAGGGAACGCTGATACAGTCGCCGGGTGCTTTCTCCTGCTCGGCGCCGAGCACTCGACACCTGTTGAGCCTTTTGGGATAAGTAGGTTATATTTAAACTGCTTGATTTCCAGTCTCCTCGCAGTTACATTTCAGGGAGATTGCAACATTTACAGAGAGGAGACGTGCTCGGCATATATCTAAACAAACATCAATCAGAAAGTGTAAGTACGACAGAACTGGACAAAATGTTGCTCCTGCTTTGAATGAAATACACACACAGAGCAACATAAAACTTATGCTCAGCTTTGCAAAGACAAAGACACGCAAACACATACGAGAGGATCAAGATGTCAGAGATTTGCTCTCCATTTCTAGGCTGAGACGTGTGCGTCGCACGTGTGTCAACCTGTTCAAAACACACCAGAGCGGCACAACTCGCGAGCATCTTTGAAATTATTTGCGGCACACAAAAGAGCTTTTTGACATATCACTTTCACAATAATCTACAGGTGTCCTGGCAACTTTTGCTCTACTTAATAGGCCATGTTTGTTTGAAGTACACGGCTTTGAACAGACAACAAAACAGCGCATGCTTAAGTACCTCCAAATATGACACCTCTTCAACTCAGCATCAAGCGCACTGCAGCTTCACAAAAAGGCACCTGCGAGGCTCTGAAATGCAAACAGGCCCTCGTAAGTCTTCAGGTGTTGGGGCTAGTAAGTGGGCTTGAGTTGTTTTCCATTTTCTGTCTGTGAGTCTGACTAACGCATGCAATTCAGGGTAAACAAATGCAGTCATGCCTCTCATGTTCCGCAGCAGACGGCTTCCTACTGCGAATTAGAGGCTTATAACAGCAATGTGAAAAACATCAATTCCTAAATAATTGAAAACCATTGGAGAGTACACTGTTATAGTTCACTTCTTATAAATGGGAACATATTTGCATCTGTTAGGATTATTAGTACTGCCATACTGTGCTGTTTCTTTGATGCATTTTATTCGAAATGAACCACAAGAAATGCTTTTCAAGTTCACTAGTTTTTGCTTGAACTTTAGAGTTCAAATTAACCGCACGGTTGTCACAGTGTTCACCATTATGTAGTTTCACAATGTTTTGGAAACTCAACAGTTGTTGGACAGCATGGGCCACTCAAGAAATAAAAAATACATTTCTCCAACCCACGACTACAAGCTAAGACAATAACGTAACATTCTCTAATCAATCCCAGACAAATGCACTGGAAAAACAAAAAATACTTTGACCAACTCCAATCCAAAGGGATTCTTTTTGCTGGACTGCTTTAAAGATGAAATAAAAAGAAAACAGAAATGTGTCTGGGGTAAATACTTGAATTATACACATATCCAATCTTTTTGGTTTCTAATAAGATTTACGGTTCAACTAAAACGTGAAGGGGTCCAGTCTGAGAAAATTTCTCGAAACAAAGGTCAATAATAAGAAGATCACAATGTGCTTAAATAGAGGAATAGAGTTGTATCAACCTTTGCATGTAATCAATACACAACTAACAAATCAGTCAGTCGAAAAGTGCGCTGCCACGTTTAATTCACAACCGTCTTTTTTTAGCTTTTGGTCCGGGTCCGTGTTGGGATGGCTTCTGGGTCCGGGTCCAGACCGCGGTCCGCCAGTTAGTGACCTCTGGTTTAGGGTAACGGTTGGTATCAGGCTGGTAGTCGTTTGGATCATGAGTGTGGTCGAATCAGACCTTCCTGCGTCCGACCGATACCCTCCTCCAGATGTGCCCTGCAGTGACTTCCCCACCTGTCACTCAGGAGGCGGAGGCCAGGTGTCTGATCCATCACTGCAGCCACCTGTTTAGGGATACACACGCACTCATTTAAGTGCACTTTTCCTTAGTCCAACTGCAATGACTACAGTATTAATCAGTATTTTGTACATGCGCTGCCAAAAATAGTCGACAAATCTCTCATTAGGTAATACCAGTGGCCAATAATAGATGTAATCTGCTTCACACATTAAGCTTTAGTTACACAACTGAAAGAAGAAAAACATTCTCACTGATTCGAGGCCAAAGATAATAGACTCAGGAGTAACAGCGGTGCCAAAAGACATCCTTTGTCTTGGTCTTTCATAGTTTGGCCTCACGCTGTCAATGCTTCTGTTAGCTGTTGCTTCTTTCACACGGCAGTGGCAGGTATCGCTGGGTCATCCTGCCGCTGCTAAGCCTCATTTAAAGGCTGAACCGTAATCACACACGAAAACAAAAGGAGATTCTTGTGTGCACGGTACGTATAATTA